TAGGGGCTCCTGGCCTTACTACTAGGAACAAACAAGAAGCTACTAGGCGCTCCTGGCCATACTACTAGGAACAAACAAGAAGCTACTAGGGGCTCCTGGGCTTACTACTAGGAACAAACAAGAAGCTACTAGGGGCTCCTGGCCTTACTACTAGGAACAAGAAGCTACTTGGGGCTCCTGGCCTTACTACTAGGAACAAGCTACCAGGGGCTCCTGGCCTTACTACAAGGAACAAGAAGCCAGTAGGGGCTCCTGGCCTTACTGCTAGGAACAAGGAGCTACTGGGGGCTCCTGGCCTTACTACTAGGAACAAGAAGCTACTAGGGGCCCCTGGCCTTACTACTATTAACAATCCAGATTCTACTGGGGGCTCCTGGCCTTACTACTAGGAACAAGAAGCTACTAGGGGCTCCTGGCCTTACTACTAGGAACAAGAAGCCACTAGAAACTCCTGGCCATACCACTAGGAACAAGGAGGGGCTCCTGGCATCGCTACTAGGAGCAAGGACGCTACTAGGGGCTCCTGGGGTGGCACAAAAGCGACAACATAGCCAAGCTTGGAAATATGCTAGCTGCTAGCTAGCTTGCATCTCTAAACTTGACGGGCCTCTTTGAGCCACAACTCCTCCGCGCTCCTCCCCGGTGCCCCGTAGCATGCAGCTTTTGGGCAGACGAAATCCTCAGTGTTCGGAACTCGGCGAGCATCGAAAGCCCAAACTGTTGGGGGGGGCGCACCCCACTCCGTGTCCCTGCCCATGCCTGCCCAAAGCTTCAAGGAGTGAACTTCCAATGGTCCCAGTCCGTTTTTGCAAGCGCTTGATTGGCAGGTGGGGCTGACCTTGAATCTCCGGAGCTGCTTACCACTCTGCAGTGCAGATCCGGACTCTTTCTATCCACGTGCCTACGACTTGTACGACCCCTTAGAGCCCGGGGGCCCGGGGATTCGGGAGGCAAACCAGGTCGTGCGAACCATGAAGAACGCATGTGAGGAAGTGAACGAACTCGATGAATGCCGTGAGGTATCCTGGTCAGAATGGCTACCACTCCTTGGAGTGAAAACCACCTGTCAGGTATTCGGAAAATGGTCATCCCGGAGGCCATGCCATCCACGTCCGTTTCATAGATGCTGGAATCTATGCTAGGTGGGCGCTTACACACAAGAATTTCCGGGTGACAAAGTTCCTTGAATGGGTGAGTCAGTTCCTGGGATGGGTGAGTCCTGTTTTGCTTGTGCACATATATTCCAGTGTTCCATACGTGTTTGCTTTCCGAGAACTCCACCAGGATATCCTTTCGCGCCCCGCTTTGGATCGCTACGTTGAGGCGTGCGGACTTCGCTTTAAACTTCAAGTTCACCAAGGCATGGAGCTTCATCCAACGCATTGAACTTGATTCATATCTTAGATTCATGTATTGTTATTGTTATTTGTTCATGTATTATTCTTGTTGAACTTGTTACTGTATTTGTTTTTGTTTTTGTAAAATCATAATGTCTTGGATGTTCCAGGATGGCAAAGCCCGTGGCTAGCGCAATCTTTTGTCTCATCTCATGTGTTTCTGCCTTTGCAGGCACAGGCGATCCTGCGGGAATTCATCCGGAACATCGATTCGCAAGCTGCAGGAACTGCCCAGATTGCTGACTGACTCATCAACCAACAACTTAGATACTTCAGATTTGCCAGGCGAGATGCGATACATGATAGACTCCCAGCATGGCAGTAAAACTGCAACCGGGCTCTTGGTGTACCATGGCCATGCTCCTCGACCACCAAGAGTTTGTTCCACTGTGTTTGGTGTCGTTTGATGTGGCGGAACCTGCGAGGCAAAGGGGAATCATCCCAAGCCTGCTTCTTTCCCAATGTCCCAGAAAAGGGAGCCTCAGCACGTGCGTAATCCAACAAATTCCAACAATTTGATATGTATGACAGTGTTTACCAAAGGGGTTACTTCAAGCAAATTGAGCAAGACAAGAAAACGAACAGTTCACACCCAAACCGCAGAATTTCTTGGTGTGTTGGTGCTCGTTTGCTCTCTTTGTTGACATCACATCACTGGGCGCTGTGCCCCCCGTTCTTCATGACCAGCATCCCATACGGCTCGTTAACCTTCGCGCATGACCAAAACACCGAGGCCATGACCTTCAGCAGCGATGTGGTGAGTACTGCCTTCAAGGTTCAGCCGTCATCGACGTTTGGGATCTTTGGGGCCAATTTCCTTGGAAGGAAAGGGCTTGCAAGCTATCAAAGGGACGTTTGGATCCTTTGCAATCAATCCATATCCAAACGTCTTGGATCCTTTGGGGCCAATATCTCTGAATCAAAGGGCTTGCAATCGCTATAGAAGGATCAACGCTGTTCCGGTCCACTTACCAACGCTTCAGATGCATAGGATTTGAAAGAACGTACCCCACCAACTGGGACGGCCATGTTCTTCAGAAGGGAGAACCAACCGTCGCCTACACCACCCTCTGCCGTGTCAGTGTCCGCTCTCCTGAAGCCGCCTGAAGCCGCCTTCGCCTGCCGACCCATTCATCGGCTCATCCGTGTCATCCTCAGATCTGCCTGCGGCTGGTGACCGATCCAGCGGAGATCATGGACTGCCCACAGCTCGCAGAAGCCTTGGCCATGGTCTCTGCAGAGGACGGTTGGTGCGACCAGACGATCGACCGGGTGGTGCAACCGGGTCGCCTGGTCACCCGCCTGGGCCGCATTTTTGAGGGGATGAATGGGCGGAGGCCCTCAGGAAGATGAACCAGGTTTTGTATATGGCACTCGTACCTGGCGACGCCCTGGTCCAAGTCAGAACAAAATCAGTCGTACCGTCGAGCCTGTAGGAACCTGGCTCGAAGTTGTTGCCAAACTGCCACGAATCGGTTTAGAGTGCATCCGATGAGTAAAGGCCTTGCCAAACAACATGACGGACTGTGTCTCGAAGATGCCCTAGATTCAATAGATGTCCTGGAAAGAGGAGATTGAAGTACACTCCACTCATTTTGAGACCCAACCGACCTACTGGGCATCAAAGGGACTCTCCTCTCAATTGAACGCAGACGCGATGCTCACAGGTTTCTTCAACTACAATAGATATGATTAATACGCAGATTCACCCGAACATAGGGGATTTGTCATCACCACAAACAGAGGGATTTCCCGTTGCTTCCGTATGGAAGGAATGGTCCTTGCTGGAGCAGGCGAAGACACAAGATGCACATCAGTCGAGTCGAGTGAGCAGAGAAAGCTTCGAAAGTCCAATGAACTTCCACTACATGTAGGCTTGGGTGCGTGATGGTGTAATATGGTATTTATTTTATATATATATATATGTACTGTAAGTACACGTATGTCTAATATGTCATGTGTATATGTGTATATATGTGGATCTATATATATATATACACATAACTATAATAGAGAGAGAGAGAGAGGAAGAGAGAGATTGGAGCTTCGCAGCGTGCAGTGGATTCTTCTTTATACAGCCACAGAAGTCCACAGGATTGATTCAATCATGAGCCAGCTTGGAGTTCTGGGAAAGTCAAGATGCTCACAACTGTTCTCAGCTCAAGACCTCATCAATGACAAGAATCCCGAGAAGTTTTGGACCACGGACCACTCTGGCTCCCTCACAACAAACAACAAATCATAGAATGAGTCAAGGCCGGGCACAAGCGCTAGAGCAAGCGCAGGCAGGGAAGGAGAAAAGAAGAACACGTGTGTCATCACAGTCCCAAGTCCCAACACCACGACGCAGCAAGGCCAGGCGTTCTCATCAGCAAGACGACAAGGAGCAAAACGAAGGATGTTTGAGCCTCCCCGAGTTGCAGAACTGCTAAAGCCAATGAGCCCCCGACCAATCCACCATGACGCCGCTCTGCAGGTTTGTTTGGATGACTGCACCCAGCGCCTTGAGGGCTTGGATCTCAGATAGAGCTGTTCATCGGACCCAACGGAGGTCGAGCCCAGCCAGCAAAACCCTTGAGGAGCTAGTGACTAGTCTCAAACCAAGAGTGGAAGTCCACCTCCTTGATTCAAGGGCCAATATTTGTTTGAAGGGAAACGTGTCCAAGATTCGTTGCCAATATCAAAGGCAATTCTGAGTCATCCAGGAATTCTAAACAATTCTTCCAGTGTGCCTTTTCTGGAGTCCGTGGCCTCCCAGGTGCTTTGAATGCAGAGGACTTGCATGACTTCATTCAAAAGAGGCCACGGGTCCGCGGCCGCCGACACCTTCAACACGACCTGACGGGTCAGCAAGAATGCTACTAGAAGCTTCTTGCTACTAGTAGTAATGGCCTCCACCCTATTAGCGATGGCCTCCACCTAAGAGCGATGGCCTCTAACCTAGTAGTTTCTTGCTAGTAGTAAGGCCAGGAGCGCCCCTAGTAGCGATGCCTTTTACTACGAGAAGTCAAGTTGGATCACACCAGATCCACTTGGGTCAGGCTCCGTTTTCGGGAGTCCACGTGCGTCCGTTTGAGTCCACGGTGGAGCATCCATGTGGCGCAAAACAGGTCGCTTCTGAAGATCCCGAGGTGTTTGGCGCTTGTTTGGTGAAGATGGTTGACATGTTGACATCAGACCATTCAGCTTGATCTTCTCAAACTTCATTGTAGTTGGCTTGTCATTCTATAATAAGACATGAATTCTGAAATGTTGTTAACTCGATGGAAACGGTGAATCCCTGTGTTTTGCTCCCAGACATCATCTCATCACACCGCAAACTGACTCGACAAACGAGCCAGGCAAGTGCCCACAGAATCCATGCGAGAACGGAAGAACAAGGACACACCGGTGACACCGCAAACCGGTCGGTGGATGTTTAAACGGAGGGAAGAAACCGCCAGGGACTGGAAGAGCTGCCCTTGAAAGATTAAGTGGATGGTTTTGGGTCCTCTGAGACTCAGGGGTAGTAGATGAACACTCCGTCAGCCAGTGTAGTGGAGGAACACGGTTTTTTCCTTTCTATGAGTGTTTTTCTTCATGGGATCCGGTCATTGGTTCTTGCGATGTGACTGATCAGTTTGGATGATCGCTTTAAAAAAGCCTGGCTGTCTGCAGGGTGGTGGTTTCTGTTTATGTCTGTTTAGCGCAGGAGAAGCGGAAGGAGAAGGACAACCAGAAGCTCCTGACGGCATCAGAAGAAAAGAAGCGGAGAAAGTCCAAGGCCGGTGATCAGCTTCAGATATGAGCTATCAACCTGAATTCCGACCAAGAGCTTAGCAACGGGTTTCTGCCCCCCAGTTGAGTATGGGGGGTATCATGATGTCATTGATGACTCAACAATGGTTTGACAATCCTATAAATACACCAGTCAGCTGTGATACCAGGTCTTTTTGTTTTTTGGCTTGAAGAATCTGAAGGATGCCAAGTGATGATCTTCGCCAAGTGGCGACCGCGTGAGGCCAAGAAATCTCCAAGCCTCCAGCTGCCTTTGTGTTCTCCAGTCTCCAGCTTCGAAGGCAGGTTTTGCTTCTTCGTGGAGGGCTTCTGTCCAGCGAGGTGAAAGACGTCACATTAGTACGAACGAAGCGGGTTTCATGGGGACCAATGGACCATGAAAGCACTCCAGTACCGCGTTTCTGGGTGTTATTGTTCTGTTTCTTGGTTAAAAGGTGTTGTCTTGGACCAGAAGATATACTGAGGGTGTGAGGAATACTCCCAACTGCCGAACCTTCTTTCCAGCTGGTCACTCTTCACGCCTTCCCCGGGAACACGAAAACGCGTGTGAACACGGCACGCGCGTTTCTCGTGGCCATGAAGGTTTGAAGCCGGAGCACCTCATTGCGCAAGTGAGAGAAGTGCTTGAAGAGATGGACAGCAGCAACAGGTGCCGACCGGCGAACACCGGCGAATACGGTGCAACTGGGTGTGAGAAGAAGCCTGGAGGGTTTCTGGGGAGAGAAAGAGTTCAGAACACGGGTTGCCCAACTAATTGAGTTGGACCATGTGACTCTGCAGATTGGTATAAGGACCCACAAGAGGTGAATCCCGGCGTCGCCCAAAAGCCTTAGGATTCACTGATGAGTTTCACTCAAAGGCTATGCAGCTATGCATGGTGTTTGTTTTGTAGATCATTTGGACGCACCGGCGTCACTTGGAGGGTTCTACCATGTTCTACCAAAGACCTGCTTTCTTGGAATCGCATATGACTGCAAACCTTGGAATACCACCTGGATCAACCAGACCGGTGCTCGCAACGGCCGGAATAAAGGCTGCCACCTCATTGAACGAATGCGCCTACAAAGACCTATATATATATACACAGACAGTCTGGGGAGCTTGCTCCATCAGAAAAACTCTCATGATGCCTCATTTGGAGTGGTTGATGATTATTAATTACATTTCTTTCGGTGGTTGAACCCCATCCGTGGTATGACGAGTTTGCGGCTTCACCGCCCCTGAAACGCACGCTGTCCCTAGACCCTTCGACCCCAGACCCCAGACTCCAACGCCTTTTCCAACGACCGGTCGCCACTGGCAGCGCCGGTCGCTGGTGGCACTGCCGCAGGCAGTTTGGCATCAATGGATGTCGAAACGCCTGGATCGTGAAGCCTTCTGGCAAATCGAGAGGGCGAGGGATTAAGGCAGCGGTGGGCCGTGTGAAAGGTTTTGGCTGAGAATAAATGTGTGTCTGGCTGAACCCCAAAGGCTGGAAAATCGTCCACCCATGTCCACCAAAGTCTTTGATTCCGTCCCCAGCTTCACAACTCGGAAGCTCTAAATCACCGAAGGATCGACATGGCTATCTACCAACCAAATTCAAACGTGTCACATGTCTACCAGGAACCCCAGTCGGGGTGGTGAATGGACACCCCGAATCACAGCTTTTTGGGGCTATAAAATAGACACCCCAACAGGAGGGTCCTGGATGGTCCGGGTATATCCGGTTTTGCTCTTCGATCTTGGGTTGCCACAGATGGCCAGCAACTCCACCTCTCATGGGCACGGGGAGAGCGGTGGCTCGCCCAGTGGGTATCGTTTGGAACTGAAGGATTCCACCCATGCAAATCATTCCGGTCGGGCATCCTGCACCCGACCGCCACAAAGAACATCATTCCGACCGCCAAGGTGGATTTTTCCTTCGCGTTGGTCCTTCCGAAAATCTGTCCGGTCGCGCATCCGACCGCCAGGTGATGCGGGAGTTAGATGAGATTTTTCGACACTGCGAGAGCGATGGCTTCCAATGGATCTGCCAGAAGTACATCGAACGGCCGGGCAAGCTCAGACCGACCGGCTGTCATTGCTCATCTCGAAGACGAAGCGTGTGATTAAATCGAACTGTTGGATTCAGGCGATGTTCTTCTACCCGATGGACAGTCAGGGCGGTTTGTGAATTAGACATTGGGATGACATCCAACTGTACTACCCACTCTACACGCGCACGGCGGGTTTCCCGCACAGGCGGGCAGTGAATACTGAAGCAACGCTCTGACTGACGAAAGTGACAGCACTGCAACTGCAATGACTGGTGTAACTCAAGGAAGTTTTGGTGGAAACTGCAACGTAGGTTGGAGCATTCCTCACAGACGTGACATTCCTCCACAGCAGTTGTGATGTAATCGTGAGGGTGGCATCCATGCGATTTGGAGGGTGTGTGATGTGTGCCCTCCGAGGACCACATGGACCCCCAAAGCCACTGGGGTCTTCGGCTTCAGGGCCCTAGAACCACAGGTGAAGTCTTGTTCGCCTTCCGTTGGGTCGTAGGGCATCACTTGGGTCGTAGGTCAAGGTATCTCCACCCCGTTGGCTTCTTAGGCCGCAGCTGATTCATGGCTACAAGTTTGACATTCGGCAGTGGGTGGAAACCTCAGTTTGACATGCGGAAGTCTTCGAGTCTAGTGGACAAGGTCGGTTTTTCAGACTGAGAACGTGGTAGATTCACATGGCAAGAATGAAAAGCTTATCAGACTGATACAAAGAGGATAGGGAAGCTGATGGTTTTTCATGGCATTGCGATGTGGATAGGATCACTCGTGATCATGAGTGATCCGCCATTCACTGTTTTGACCTTCGTTGCCATGTGTTTGCGGACGAGACCAAACACAAGGAATGCCACTTCAACAGATCAAAGGAGACCAAAGTGGAATGCTTTTGGATTTAAACATGTGTTCAGCTTGCCATTTTTGTGAGGAATCAGTTAAACAAAAAGACAACACACACTGGTTAAGACGCCGCAACGAGATGCAACGAGACACACTTTTGGTGGATGCTGCCATAATTTCAGCCAAGATGTTTGTCTGCTGACTCCGTCAGTTCAACTGGCATCATGGATAGGTGCTCAACCTAGGCTGACTGAACGATGCTGGATGCCACAAGATGTTTTCCCTTCGTTTCGAAGGTGTTTGGAGTTTGGAGGGTCCAGTCATACCGGGCGGTCGCTTTGTTCGTGTCGTCCCAGAGACGGTCCCGACTGCACCGTCCACCGCGTGTGGCACCGGACAGCACTGTGAGATGGAAGAGATGGAAAGATCATGAAAGATCCGATCGGTTGTGGGGGTGGGACTGAAAAAGGCATGAAAACACCAACCAACAACTCTTTAAACGTATAATCGCTTGTGTGCTAGAATTTTAATGCATCAAACATATTGATGAAGAACGTCACATGAATTCGACCTCACCCGGATCAACCCCTCCCTTTGTGGAGTCCCAACCGAACTCCCCGGTACACAGGCAGCGCTTTGGCTCGCTTAGGTCTTGGTGACCGACTGGAACCCGCTGACCGTGTACATTTGGCGGGAACCCCAGACGGTCAGAGCGGGAACCAGGGCTTGAGATGGAATTCATTTGTTCGCTTTTGGTGAGACTCCGTGGCAAAGGAGCGGAGTACTAGGCCTCAATGGTAGTAGGGTACTCTGCAGGCAGTTTTTTGGAACAGCTCTTTCTTCAACTGCAGCCCATTGGGTAGAAGAAAGTCTTCAACTGGTCTTCCAGCTGAGGAACCAGCCTTATCTCAGATTTGCTGGCCAAAAGTACGATGAGACTTTGTCCGACCGAAGCGAGTGCCCCGACCCCACGGTTGCGGTGAAGCAGGAAGCTTTAAGAAAGGAAGAAAAGTGGCAAGCTCATACATGTTCCAAAGTTGAACCATAACTGAAAGATTCACTTTGTTTTCAGGTTTGAGTGTTGGTTGAGTTGTCGATTTTCCTATATGACCTCTATATGACCTGTATGTGTTCATTGAGTTGAAAGTCCTTGATGTTGCATCAAAAGAGGTGTGCATTCTTGGGCTGTCTTGGCTGGTTGTGGGGTTGTCACAAGTTCCTGCACCCTACTCTTGCCAGGTATGTTCACCTGGTGAACAATTCCATCATCAAGCACATGGACGGCTTCAAGAACAAGAATGAGGCCTGGTCTTCGGATTCTTTTTAATTGTAGTAAATGGGCGTAACTGGAGTTTCTCAGAGGTCGTTGGGTTCTGTGACTGACTCTGTGACTGCTGAATAGCGGTTCAGGCGTTTTCCAAGACTCTCTTGTCCTTGCTGTCCCGAGAAAGCTCACCTGTTTAAGCGCCCATTTCCAGGCATTTTTCCACGTGTTTTTGCATGTGTTTGGAAAAAATAACCTCCTGGTGGAGGCTGCGGCTTCTCATGGTTTCTCGGCCTGGTCAGGACCTCAATGCTCAAGGCTACATGTGGTTCCGGCAACAGTACGAGGCCTGGAGAGGGACTGGCTATAGAGGCGCGCGCGTTTGGCAATGGTCACCTGGAAGGCACCACGGGGTTATTTGACAGTACATTGCATGACTATGAATTGATATGATTTTGTAAATTAATGTAAATTGATATATTAGTATTTGTTGTTTTTTGTTGATGGCATTGATGGAGTGAAGTTGCTCAAAACCAGGCCAGGCTAGACTGCCTTTGGCACGCCAGCAAACTCAGTGCGAATAGAATGAGGTGGTCACAGAACTTCTTCTGTTGAGACTGCGCCTCTGGGAGGGGTCAAGCCATCCGCAAGACAATCCAGCAAGTGGTGAGATTCTTGGAAGTGGTTGTATATAGTACGTTATATATATATATCTACAGAAGATGACATGACTATGGGCCCAGTGGCAAGGGCAATGCCGGCTACACCTACATGGGCAGTCTCCCCTAACTACTGCAATATATGTATATGTATAGCGCCCAACACAATGCAAACATGAAGTCTCCTTAGATAAGCTAAATGGACACTTGAGTGGACACTTGCTATCTATTGGACCATATATCTATTTTGGGAATGCCCGGGTGTGCAACTGTTCAGCTCCCTCCGCCGCGCGGAATGGCTGCACGGGACTCTCGTCTCATTGCGGCCCTGCCCAGGAATGGCTGCACGATCGCTTTTGCACCTGCGAGAAGCATCGAACGCCCTTTTTGAGGCCGGCCACCGACTTGAACGGGTGATGATTCCTTTGCCAAGGGAGGGTACTAGGTGGTTCGTTTGGGGGAGGGATACCGATTGAAATCATCGGCTAGCGGTGGATTCGATGTTTTTGACGCGCAAGCTGATGCGAGAGCACACTGATTTGCACATGGCGGTGTGGAAACACACGGTGTTGATAGCCTTACAACATGGCCAGGACCAAGCTTTCTCCACTTCCACCAGACTTGGACATGACCAGCACCAGCACCAGTCCGACCAGTGCTCTGCGAAGATGCGACCCATGACGATCCGACACCGGTCGAGTGCCGTGTGAAAGGCCGCCACCCTACACCTGCGAGACCTTTGGAGTCCGCTGGGAGGTCACCCGGTTTAGACCAACGCCAAACCACCGCGAGTCGTGTTGGTCGCCCGGTTCGGTGTTGGTTGGGCGCGACAGCGGCTGGGACCGTGAAAGATCCGGGTCCCAGCCGCAAGAGCAATGCAGTTCACACAATTTGCTTTCATGACGGCTGAAATACTGCTTCAAGTTGCTTCATATGCGCTTCATATAGGTTTAACAAATCGTTTTTGCAGCTTGTATGGTTTCAGAATTCCAACATGTGAGCCACCCATCTCATCCTGTGAGCCGCCTGATGAGTCCAACCCTGTCTGCTTGTTTCAAACCCTGTGCATGCGGAAGCCATTGGGCCGAAGAGCTCCGGAAACCCCGGGTCTGACCATGAGGATGACCATGGACCATCCAAAAACACATGGACATCCCCGAAGTGGCGAACCATTGGGTGCGCCACGGTGAACCATGACACGACTTGGACGATTTGGTGAGGGCTTCTACCTCACTTTGGTTCAAGGAGCTCAAACATATGAAGATCACCCCTACCAGCCCAGCCTTGGTTTCTGACAGCGAATTTGGATCCACCCAAATCCAGATCCAAGTTGGATTTGTGCTTTGGATGACCTTTTGAGCCATAGAGAGGCAGCCTGGTTCGCTGGATAGGACATGAAAGGACATGGATTTGGATGAAAGAAACATGGCGAATTCTCTTCACTCTCCACCGGTGCAGCTTCTTCTACGATGTTCCAAAACTACCAACAAAACCACCCTGCGTGTCCCCAACCCGCGCCCTGCGTGTCCCAACCCCTTTGGTCCCATCCCCTAGGACGACACGACTCGCGTCGCGTCGCGTCGCGTCGCGTCACCGAGGACGTGAAGTTCACGACCGAGGAGGACGACTCCGACGACGGTGAGGACGCCCCTCGGCCCGAGGCGTTTTCGGTGGAGGGGAGGGAGGCAAGGACGTTTTCGGTGGAGTGGGGGGCCCTGGGGTGGGGCCCTGGGGTGGGGTGGGAGAGTGAGTTCCTCATGAGTGGGATGGCACAGTGGTTTTGGGGTTCATTCCGAGCACTTTGGAGGGTTTTTGAGCAGATAGTTGAGTGGTTTTGGAGTGCAAGGCGAGTAAATGGGCAACATTGTAACAAACATAACAAAAGATGATCTCAAGCAACAGCATGGCCACGCAGCCGATTGAAGGACACAGATCAAACTCTGGAAGGACCCAACAATCAAACTACACATCTCCACTCCCAGTCGCTTGTTTGAGAATCTGATAGAATCTGAATATATTTGAATCGTTAGATGATGCAACAAACCCGTGTATTTGTACATGCAGCATTACGGCCCCCGGTGACGCTGTTGAAACCGGTCTTCGGTGGTGAACACTTCCTCTCCGGGCGATGCATCGGCCCCTGCAGTGACTGGGGATCAGCGGACTGGGTTCCCCACTGGCGCAGACCAGGCCACTGAGCATTTGGAGCTCCCTGAGACGAGGTGAGCGATATTGTGTTTTTTTTTTTGCTGGGTGTGTGGAAGACTGGGAGATGTTGACATGTCGGCCTTTTGGGGTGCAAACTGAAATGATATGAGTTACATATGATATCATATATGATGATATACATGACGGTTGCTATCATCATCACCTTTTTGCGGAAGTTTCAATAAGCGGAATATACGGAAGTGGTGCCTGACCTTAGAAACTTCAAGTATACCACGCAGGAAATTGAATGTGTGGTTCAATTCAACATTTCCAGCTTTTGTTTTTGCTCTTCCGTGCACACCTCGCCTCCTTTCCAGTGGCTTCTGTAGGCTATTGGGTGGATTGGGGGCGGCGGCGCGTCCCAATGAAAGGGCATGTCTTGGAAGATATTGGAAGGTTCAGCAAAGTGCGTTCGAGTGGTGACTGGATCTAAGCCGGAAAATGTATCATATGAAGATGGTGCCACAACAGTTTGTACGAATTATGCCGTCGACATATGTGTTTGCATTTTGTTCGTGGTGTGTAAAAAGATTCGGAACGCGTGCAGTGCGGCTCGAGCGACCGAACTTCGAGTGCGGTAGCGACCTGGGTAGTGGTGGACCCAACGCGAGAGAGCCATGTCCAGCGAGGCGCAACAGAGCCATGCACCTGGCGCAACACTTGATCCTGAGCCCTGAACCCGATCTGGCGCACATGGCCCAATTTGAGCCGAATTCCGGGTACTGCCTCCTTGCCCCTTGGTTGAGCCGTTACATAGATCATGATCTACAGCGTTCGTGAAGCACGATCTCCCAGCCCTTCCTGCGTTCCACCAGTCCTTTCCTGCCAACCCCGCTGCCCGCGGGGCCAGAGTCGATTTGGTTATCACAATGACCGTGTGGGACCAAAGGCACTACGGGCGGGCATCGCCCTCAGTCTTGCAGTCCGCGACGCTCAACAAGGAAGCTTTCCTTCTTTGGACAAGCAGCTTCCATCCCCAAGGTGAAACAACTGCGTGCCTGAGATTTGATTTTTGTTGCACGACTGCTTCTGAATGAGTCTATTGTACCCGTGAGTATTTGCAGTTGAAACAGATGTTTGTCTCTTTACATGTGAGTTTTTGGGCTATGACAGAGAAGAGACGGACCTGTGCACTGTTGAGTGGCCACGCGTAGAAGACCGTAAAAGCCACTAGTCATCTGGAACAAAGGCATGTTGTAGCGGGTGGCCAGAACATGCTTTGGAAGCGCCACAATGGCATGTATACACCCAGTGGCTCCACAGACGACCAAGCCGTAGACCGGCGAACCCCTCGCCAAGAGCCTTTGGAATTGAAAAGCTGATGGCGCGGTTCGCATGTCCAATGACCAGAAAAGTTGACTCCTCGGCATGGTCCGCACTGTCGGGAATGAACATATATCATAGAAGCATATAAACAAGCAGTCAAAGAGTCAAACAGGACACATGACCGGTGAATATGTCCAGCCCAAAAGTGATATTTATAGAGGACACATGTAGAAGCCTGATCATGTTCTATTCATCTTGAACAACTTCCACAGTGTAGCTGGCACACCTATGTGTGCGTAGTTTTAAATAGGGAGACAACGACCTATTTTCTTCCGGGGGGTTCGGCTTGGGAGGTCTCCCTATAGTTGGTACGGGGGCCCATATGGGTTGAACAGCAACCTGACCTACACTCACTTGACTGAGACACATTGAAATTCAATAGTCCTTTTGTTGCTTGGCATAATGTTTGAGATCCTGAAAGGATTTTAAATGAATTTAAAAGCATTAGCTATGATATATGTATATATACTGCACAAGGAATTTGATTTCATATCACATACACCGGTTTTATGCAGCTGACTGTGCGGTTTGAAGAGCTGGTTGTCAGTCACTGCAGGCTGCCAGGTGCCGACACTCCCTCAGAAGCAGGCCATCTTCGCAATCAAACATGAGGATGTTGACAGGTTTATCTTCAGGATGTTGTTTCTTCCAAGTTGGTTTCACAAGTCGTGAAAAAATGATGTGTGTTCCTTCTGTTTTTTCTTTCAGCAATCGTTGCTTTGAGTATACAAGTATCGTACTTTATGCAATTGTTTCAGACTAAGCAAGCAAGTCCTTTGTTTGGCCCTCGTTTTTGATTGCATCTTATGAGCTATAGACAACCAAGTCAAGCGGGATTTTAGTTTGTGTTCCCCGAATTTCAATTCGATTGACATGTCCTAGGGCATTCACTATAATATATCTATTGGGGTGACTTCCTTGATTTGTTCAACAGCATCGGACCTTCCAAAATCAGAAAGATGCACTGGGGAAAGAGCGGGATGTATTTTACACACCAGGCAGGTGGAGGATCTGCAGAGCCTCCAAACACCTCGAAATCCATGATCCACAGATTTGGAAGGCAGATTGCTCGGCTGATACACACAAGGTTTGGACTGAAATCACATGTCTCGACTGGCGCCAGGCTTTTGTGACATTCTTAGGAAGCTCTGTGAAAAGACGCTGAATGTTCCTCACCAGGCTCGCAGTCACCATCCTCTCAATCAGAGGAAGGTGTAAAGGGCGCAGCTGAGAAGGCAGGTCCCTCAGTGTAGTCGTGTGCAGTCATATATAGATATACACATATAGGTCACTCACATCAAGTGAACTCGTTTGTGGCGCATGCAATTTACTCATGACTTCTATACCTAGCCTGGTTTCAGAGTAGATGGCACTGGCACCCCAAGACGTGATATTTATATTGGGATCATTTGAGGTCCATAGAAACCACCGACCGTGTGGATTGTGCCATCAACTCACTGTAGAATTCTTGAACTCCAACTACCTCCGTTTCGAAGCTTTTTGGGCCGGGCGATTGTCAGGGGGTGGGGTATTCTGGGGGCTGTTCCTACCTTGTACCCTTCTAAGGAGATGGGAACGGAGCTCTAAGGCTATAGTCTTCATGTCGAACGTCTCGCGCATGACCGATCCGTTGGGGAAAGAACTTCCGCGCCAACGCACGATCGGAAGAGACTCCGCCTGAGGCGGTCGTTGATCCAGCCGAATGCTAAGGGGTTGCTTCTGTGGTTTGGGTAGTGGACGGGTGAAGAAGACCATGGCTGGAAACATGGCGAGCACTGGCGTCGAAGCATCGACATAACACTTCTCAGAACCGATGCTGGGAATATAACATATATACATATATATATATATTATATCATGAACACACGGTTCAAGTAATGATCAAGCTGCAACATGAAACCTTGAGGTTCAGGAATGGTTTTTTAGGAGTCCGACTGATGCGATGCTATCAAATGGAAGGGGAACATCAGCAGGAAGACCTGCTGATCTCGGCCGAGGCCTTTGCAGATGCCTTGCCAGGCCTGGAAGGATTCTGTAGGCATCGACGTGGTGTGGTCGTTTCGTCATGATGGTTTTGTTACTCACACCTAAGGGTGGTTGAGGATTTGGCTCTGGGTTTGGACGGGAATCCATTTCGGAATGCGACTCAACCACGCAGACGCGACTAAACCACCGATGGGATTTCATTCGGCCTAGAGGTGGTTGGCAGGCAAGGCCGCTTGGATCGCTTTCCCAAATAGATGGGACAGAATTCCGAAGACAAAAAGCTGTAGTTGTTGGGTGGGGCATGTTGTGTCATGTTGGTTCCATGTCTTGCTAGACCAGATCCTAATGTCCTAATATGTCCTAATATGTCCTAATGTATGTGGTTTGGTGCGTTGTTGTTTCAATTTTGCAGGCCTCTTTTTTTAAAGGTCCTGCTTCCCTTAGTTGGTGGACAATTGCCCCGAAACCGAGTTTTGGCAAGACGAACATGAACGCTATAGCTACGAGCATGGCAGCTCGTTTGGATGGAGTAATTGCAAATCTGTTGGGCCAAAAGACCCGAACCTGCGGATATTCCAGAAAGGCTTTGAGCACGCCCATCGAAGCAGATTCCTTCGAGCTGCTAGCTGCTAGTGCGTGATGGATTCAGAGTGGTTTGACAGGTCGTGATGGAGAGAAGATGCGTGATGATGATGAATCAGTCGTGCATGCCTCAAGGAGATACAGTGGAGTCCAAAACCTCGGTGCCTTACACTCCAACTCAGAAAACATGGAAGTGGAAAAAGAGAGTCTTAAATGGAAGCAGTTCCTGAAGGGGTGCGATCTGTGGTGTAGGGGCCCTTGGTCCAGGGTCAAGTCATGGTTCATTTCCCCTTACAAAGTGGAGGATCATGTCTACCAGCAGGTGGCATCCAAAGAGTCCAACCGGAAGTGGCTTCACTGCCACAATGAGTCCACGCCACCCGCGGCTCTCCACGCGCTCTCCTTGGGCCGATCCGGAGCTTTCGCCAGCCGTGCCCGGCCGTGCCCCACCCCTCGACGGGATTGCGAACGGACACGAACGGACGCGAACGGGTTCGCGTGGCGCGGACGCGTTTGCGGGCGCGAACGGACGCGTGGCAGACGGGTCGTGGCATATGGGTCGTGAAGATGCAGTGCTGAGAGGATGCTGGGTTTTTGGGCCCCGTTTTGGGGAGAACATTGAAGGTAATTAAGGTTTACCATGTCGGCGATCATCACGCTCCGCTGAATTTGGAACTTTGATGCTAGCTATATACAGCTGTGTACGTATTAATCCGGTCCACCTAATAAAAAGACACGAGGCCCCCCCCTAATAAGGATAATAAGGAAACCTCGGTCGCATTTTTTTAAATAGGGGGTCCCTGAAATCGGGGGGTCCAAAATAGGTCACCTGGGAAGAGCTTCAAAACCAAAAAGTAAATCAGTAAAATTTTATATAAAGTCCTTTATTAAACTCGTATCAAAAATGCAAAAAAGCTCCAGATCGAAGGGTCTCTTCCTTTTCCCCTACAAAAACCTTCATTAGAATAAAGTCAATTTCGTTACAACTAGGTCTCATGTTTTTGCATTTGGGTCTCATGGCTTCATGAAAAAATTAACAAGACGGTAAGATTGCACGGCCGGCCGCCTTTTCTTTTTGATCTGACGTCGGATCTCGCTGCTGCAGCCAGCGTGATGATGCAGGCAGGCGGCCCGAGCAAGTGACTGGACCTTGTGGTTGGGGTCGTTGAAAAATGAAAGTTCTGCAGGCTATGGAGGGTGATCTCAAAGGGCCCCCAGCATCTCCAAGGGTCTGATGCCTAGTTTCCGGCAGCTGTTTTCAAAGATTATGTCCTCACATGTACTCACTCAACCTATTCTGCCGCTTATGGCCCTTTTCCAGGTGAAGGGCAAAGCAATGTTATTGCTACTGGTAGAGAGCCCCAATATGTCCTTTTGGTCAGGGAAGCTACCAAATATACTACTATATTGTCAAATACTGTTCTTTACATTTTGGAGTTTAGCCTGAGCCTGAATGTTAAAGCAACACCCATGTACATTGGTACACAAGACTCAACGCGTCTTTGGTTGTAGCAAACATGCCATGATGGAAAAGCGACGGAATTTCATCAAATGCCTGGCCAGCTCAAGTTCTGGAGCGGCAGCTGTTCCAGAGTCCAGCAAGCCAGCTGATCAGTCAGCTGGTCTTGGAAAGTCAGTGGTTACACCAGCTGCAGCGCAGCCAATTGTGGAAAGAATGCCTTCACCTTGCCAGTCATCAAGTTCAACTCCAGCAGCATCTTCCTCAAGGAAGAAGTTTTTCTCAACGCTGGTGTTAGAGGAAGAGGAAGAGACGTCTTCCAAGCAGAAGCCAGATCCTGAACAGACTCCTGAACAGGTTCAACCACCAAGTTCAAGGGAGATTCCAGCAGTGAAGTTCACACTTGAAGGATTGCTTGCCTTCAAGGATACAGCTCAGGCGATTGAGGTTGGCAAGGCTGCAAAAGATGTCAGAGAGAGAGTGAGGAAGCGTCCAAACTACAACAGCTCCAAGAGAAGGCTCCTTGCAAAGATGACGGACCGAATTCCGTAACTAGGCTTGGACAAGGGTCAGTTTTTATGTTTAGCCCTTCCTGTGGTCTCCCATGTCCAAGCCCATTTGATTGTTCCTGTGCCCAGGTTTGGACATCATGGCACTGTTGATTCACGACTGGAGCACCTGAGGCTTCAGAACTCGTGCAGGTGCCACAGGCGAACATGCTTTCAACAACTCAAGGGCCTAAAGCAGGCCCTATTGCAGTTTTTGAGTGCCTTTTGGTCAATGACCAAGCACGTGCAAGACGAGTTCCTTAGGAGTACGATCATGGAATCGGAAGGTAACACCAGGTGTCGTAAGACATGGTTTTTGCTCGGAAAGCTCTTTGGACCGAAGTGCTGCTTGGCGGTTCTCGGGGTGGGAAACTGCAGAGTCCTGAGAGTTACACAAGGCAGATTTGACCGCCGATTTGCTGTTTGGGGAGCACCTTGCCAGAAGCCGTGTTTTTTCCTATTCATTTTGCCAGTTTGTTGTAAAACTAAATGAAAATGTAATCAATCTTGCTAATTCCAATGTGATTAGGTATCCACA